CCCCGCCCCGCCCCGCCCCGCCCTCACTATATAGACTCGCGGCTCGGCTTCCTCATCGGTAATGAATAGGGTTGACCCAGCGTGCAATGGGGTTCAAGGCCGACCGGGCACCCGCCAGCCAGGCCCGAGGCTGCTCCGTCCAGCTGTCTGCTCGGGCTGTCCGGCCGTCCGTCCGCCTGTCTGTCTGCTCGGGCTGCCCGCCGACCCGGTGACGTCACTATGATGTCATTGTACAAGCATATGGAGGCTTACGGCATGTTCGAGGTGTATGCCTGTGTGTAAGGAGGAGAGACGGCGTGCGCGCTTGTGTGTGTGTGCTGTGTGTGTGTGTGCCGTGTGTGTGCTGTGTGTGTGTGTAAGAGAGAGAGAAAGAGAGATGGAGGGGAGGGGGTCGTCTAACGCAAGCTTCCTGTCTGGTGTCTGGCTCGGTGTGATCAGTATCCTGTTTTGGATATGACTGCGATTTGAAAAAATAAATCTTTTGTAACTTTTGTAATTTAACATACAGCAGTACAAAACAGAAATGAAACTAACTGCGGACTAAAGTCCCTGCGGCAGGCAGTGCGCGGCTCTCTTGTCCTTGCCGAGCGCACGATTGTCTTTTTGGGTGAGTGAGAGGGAGGCTGGGTGAGAGTGAGAGAAATAGGGAGGGATTGAGAGAGGGGAGAGGGGAGTAGGGAGGGGGAGATCCAATAAGGCTCGGCGCACTGCGGGCCCGGGCGGCGGGATACGAGGGGGACACGCCGCCGTGGGATCCGCGATCCAGATCGCGCCTTATTGTAATCCCCTCGCTTTACGCTGTCGGCTGTTTTATTCTGTTTTATTCCTTCTTTCCCCGCATCTCTGTCTATGCAGTGCGAGAGCGTCTATCGATTTGGCGCATCACGGGCGCATCATGTCTCTCTCCCTTTTTGTTGTTTTGTTGTTTGGTTTGTTTCGTTTACTATGGTCATGTGTGTATGTCTGCTCTCCGTTGTTGGTTGTTTTTTCTAGAGCAGTGTGCTTCTCCGTGTTGCAGATCCCAACTGCCATCCGCTGGTCGCGGACGGGCTGGCCGTGCTGCGGCTTGATCTCACCGAGAAGTTTGAGTGCGGCATCACCAAGGTCACCAACCAGATCACGGTAAGGCGAAGCAGCCGCAGAGCTGGGGAGCGGGAGGACAGAGCCGGGCCGGCGAGAGAGAGGCTCTGAGCAGCAGTTCCTTTTGCTTTTGTTGGCTTTTAATGTGTTCGTGCGGGCTTTGTCCTCTGCGCAGAGAGCGCAGGGAGAGCTGCGGGAGGAGGCGGCACATTGTTTCACCTCGCCCCTGATAGTTGAACACCCTCAGTGTGGTCTATTCTGATTATATGTATTATCACTCTTATTCCCCGGATTATCGCTCCGTGGGTCGGACTCCCCGCCCCCTAGGCCCCTTTGTAAGTTGCCGTTGCTGCACTTTTCTCGTTTTGTTAGCGCGCGTCGGCTAACTACGCGAGCCCCCGGCGCGGACGGGTTTTGTACACACTACCTGGATTTGTGTCTTTTATACATACAAATTTTTAAGCTATCAAAATTTTTGCACACATTTCTGTATTGATTCTCTCCCCAGCTTTGGTGCATTTATTGGTGCGAAATCGTTTACTTTTGTAGGAAAATTTGCACGAAACGAGAAGTTGGTTCAACTTAGCACGAATGTTTTCAAAACAACGTACAAATACATTTAGCGAGTAAGGGACACTACTTTGGGCTGGTCGGAGATGTGCGGAGGAGCCGGGAAGAGCGCTTGTGCCCCTCTTATTTTTTATGATTGTCTTCTCCAGCAGCTAAGACCCAGCTGTCACTGGAACGGCTCCAGCGCTCCAGGGTTGAGTAGGGGCCTCCTCCAAAACGAGCACAAAGATTTGGGGGCGAGGAGGACGAGGAAAGGGGGCTGACCTGGGACAAGAGCGGCCCCGGCCGGCAGCCCCGCGGCGCGACGGCGGCGGCGCCCACGCACACCTTCCCAATAACACTCCGCCCGACTCTGACACGCTCCCCTCCACCTCCTCCAGGATGAGGATGACGGAGCGGCGCGGAGGTTAACTGCTTAACGGGTTCATCGGCACCGCGCGGGCCGGGCGTGGCGGCCGACGGCGAGCTGCTCGGCGAGCACCCCGTGGGCGAGGACGACACGGCCTGCGCAGCAGCCAGGACGACGCCACGACGGCATCGCGAAAATGATTCATTGCCGCTTCGCATGTCATTTGTCAAAATGCGCGCTCCGACACACACACACGCGCGCGCGCGCGCGTGCGTGGCTCGGTGAATGTTGTGCGTTGTACGCACGCTTTATGGGGACTCCCGGATTTTACTACAGCACCTACTCGAAACAAGTAGTACCCACCTCTTCAACAAAAGGATTGTACGAGTCAACGAGTCTCTCCAGAGGTCGAATGACTTGCTAGGGTCAACCCTATCCCCCCCCCCTCTCTCTCTCCATTATAACGATGGTCCCTCACTCACAAAGTGAGTCAGACTTTGTTGCGCACTTGTGTTTGTCAGCTGCGATGACAGTGCGTGGCAGCGCGGGCAGCTCCTCGGCCGAGTCCGCGGCGCGGCGGCTACCGCTTTGTGGCGGCTTGCGCTTGAACGCCGAGCCTCGACGCGCTTTGAATGCCGCACTCCGTGAGAGCCGCGTCGCCAGGTCCAGGCGTCATTCGGAAGAGGTGCGCGCGACCCCCGTGTGAAAGAGTGAGAGAGACTAGAGGAGAGAGAGAGAGAGACAAAGAGAGGCGCGGTAACAAGGCAAAGGGGACGCGGTGTGAACGCGCGAGCGGGTAGTCGTCGGTGGGCGGGACACGCACAATTCCATTTCCTGGTCTGAAACTCAAAGAGAGCACATTAAAACAAAAATAAAAAAAATTAGGGGACTGTCCAAAAATTGTTTTTGTTTTTTTTACAAAATTTCTAAAGATGCGCTAAATTTTTGCAACATTTTTTCGAGTGGGGCTGTAAAACAGAATACTTCTAAAAGTAATAAGTTAAAAATGATTTTGCTCTGATTAGCATTTTTTCCGCTTCGCAATTCCGCAACCCATACGTGTGCAGCACGCATCCCGCGTGGGCCTCGCCCCGCCCCGCCGCGCCCCGCCGCGCTACCCCGGGGCATTCCATCACCGCCCCGCCGACCACTCCATCCACGTCAGGCCGCGCTGCGCTAC